AGGCTTTTATTCATCAATGCACACATCAGATATATTAAAGGGAAGTTCAAGAATGCTTGCTTGATGTGCGAGAACCACACATCATGGTTCTTGTGTTACGCAGCAGGTTTGGGCTTCCCCAAGAACCAATGAGATTTGTTCTCATGGTTCAAGCAAGTTTGGTTTAACTTCTGTTTATGTTCGCCTGTCAATCTCTATACTCTTTTAAAAAAAAAATGCTGGGTTGTTTCAACCCATGTTTGGGTCAAATATGGATCAAATATGGGTCAACCGTTGGTTTAAAAAAATATATATATTTGTTTCAATTTTGTAAAACCAGTTGAGGAGTTTGTCCACATTTGACCCAAACATGGTTTGAAACAACCTGGCATTTTTAGAGTATATGAATAAAAGTCGAATTTTAATCTGTTCATCATTTAAAGCAATCCACCTGTCTCTTCAGAAAATTTGGACTAAACATATCTATTCATTTGGATTTGTTTTACGATCTCTTGATTACATTTTTGAAGTGTCAAAAGTGGTAGCTGTGTGGACTCTAAATAGAGGCACAGAAATCTCTCAGATTTTATTAAAAATATATATTTTTAATCATCAGCCTTGTTTGTAGCCAACTACCCCCATAATCACTGGGTTCATTTTACTTTGAGCTGTGCTGATGGAGCCAGGGATGTTAAAAAAGAATTAGTTATAATCCATCTTTAAAACCTGACGTAATTTAGGGACTCACAGAGGTATACCATTTTCTTACATAAGAAAAAGAGCATGCACATTACAATAAAACATCTTAAGTGCTTCTCTCTCAGATTTCTCTCCCCAGTCATCAGAGACTCTCGTTTCTGCATCAGTTACCTTAGCAGTGGCATTTGCCGAGCCATGAGTGCAGGCTGTGTGATGATCGCACATCCACCCCAATGTAAGTTCCCCCTGGACCTGCACATGACTTGTTTATCTGCCCAGAGGCACTGAAAGACCAACAGTGACGTACTATAGCGCATCCCATGGTTTAATCAAGGAGATGTCGAGAAGACCATGTATTACACCCAAACAAAAAATAGAAAGGGGGTGTTATTGTTGAAACAGCACGGCAGAAGAAAGACTCAGAGAATCTATTTGGAATGGACAAAAAGAGACATCAGCCCCATCAAATCTAGGTTGTGCTGGGGTCAATTCAACAAAACCTGCCATTTAGGAGGGGGGGGGGGGGGGGTCGAAACTTCGACTGGGGTGCATTGTGCCCCAAACTAATCTTCTTTCTGAGAACAATAACCAAACAAAGACACAAAGCTCCAACAAAAGGCTACATGATAGTAACTTGTATACTTAAAGCAGGGAGCATCAAATAATAACGTAATTTAATATTATGTATAATATTATTTTTCATTCAAAAAGTTAGATTTTTGTAAGGTTTACTGGGAAACATAAGGGATTGTCCTATTTTAATAGCCAGTACAGGATGAGTCATCAATATATTTGGTGCATTTTCCCAGCAGAGAAAGACATTTTAAAGCCGCCATGATATTACAAAATAAAAATGTATATACATCACATATAGGGAGCAAAATAGACACTAGCATTTAGACATTTACCTAAAACTTCTTATTTCATTAGATAATCAACACCATAAGATGTTATGTTCTTAGATTTATAATAAGCCTCTTTAAAACTAGCAAGTTGGTCTAAGAAGAAAAAACAGATGGTAGATTGTCTTCCTGTTCTTACATACAGATTATCAAAAAGTAGATTATGAAATTTAATTAGGTGATAGGGGTGACTTTAAAAGTCTATTTAATACTCAGTGTAACCAATGATACATTGGTGGTTATGATGACATCACTGGTTTGGTCTTTTGCGTGAGATCGTTAAAATAACAGCTCAAAAGATAATAATAAAACCAGCAAAGTGTGGAATACTCTTAGGTTAAATATCTGATAATAACACAAAGGCAAAAATAAGGGAGTGAACTGGTGTAATATGTATCCACCCTTATGAGACACTATGAATTGGGATGAAGTGAACAGTTCACCAAAGGCTGAGGACAGGAGGAAAAGAAACAATACTAAATTTGCATACAGGCCCAAACAACTTAGAAAGACTGAGTCACCTACAGCATTAATGTGACAATAAACAATGAGGAGGTCTTTCCTAATTTGTAATATCATATTTAGCCTATAGCTAGCATTCCTTGTCTGAAATACTTCTACCAGGCTAGATTAAATAATAAAAATAAACAACTACCAACTGTTTACATTTGTGAAATGACAAGACATGAATTTCTGCTATATTCTATCTGGGAAAATCAAATTTCTATCTTATGAAATATTTTAGAGCTAGGCACAGCTTAGAAAAAATGATTTAGCCTATTACTAAAATTATACATTTCCATGACAAAAAAATATCACTAATATTTCCAGGTTTTCCATAACTAGTATGGTGATCCTGAAAATGAATCTACAATATTCATATTAACAATTTCAACAAGCACAATAAACTACAGCTTTAATTTTTCCAAATGAGGAGCTCAATGTGACAACAAACAATGTCTCATACTATTGATACTATTCCCAAACAGCACATTACGTAATCTACAAATGGATGAAGTTCATCATTATAACTGGACAATTTTGTCTGTCAATTATTAATAAACAGCAGTTACTAAATATCTTCAGTAACCTATTGACTATGCTGGTTTTGACAGATACACGTAATGGAAGAGGAAGAACTCGTCATGAACACATGGTTGTGTCTCAATGCCCAGTGAGCTGCCTTCGCAGAAAGCATTGTTTGACATCAAAGCCGCGTTAGAACGCGCACAAACGTGCTGTCTAGATAGGCAGCTCAGTACGTTTTGACACACCGCGAAAGCCGAAACTATTACTTACTGACCGAAACCAACAGAAACACACCTGTCCGCGATACTTCCCTGTGTTTTATAGGAAGTTAAATGCAGTTATCTAGAACAACATAGGGTGTCAAATAGTTGAAGATTACCTTTTGTGAGGTTTTATGGTGTTTTTAGATGAATTTAAAGATTTCAAGCTAGTCATGCTACATTAAACGAAGATTTAACGTTACTCCCCATCCAAAGATTGACGAAGGCGTCGTTTACTACCTCATACAGTAAATTACATTATATTACTGTCCATCTATGACATGTTACATTTTTATACTACTTATTTATCTTTTTAATGGTGGAAAAAAACTTCAACTATTACAACAACTCACCTTAGAGTAGAGTTCGGTTACAGACATGATCCCAAATACAGCAGCTCCCACCTGAACCACTCACATCAGCACACGTAAGGTTAAATATGTCCGCTTGAATATGATGATATTCCCAACAAGCTTTATAATCCAGCTTCCTTGTGTCCTGTCACTACTCCATGTTGTGCTGGTTTGTACTTTTGTACTCCCTCTGACGGCTAATGTTAGCGGGCTAGCAGCGCCTGATCACGGCAGGTGTCTGTCCCCATAATTGAAGTTCAGTTAGAAAAGAGTCCTTCATCCTCCGCATAAACAAATTACAAGTTAAAATAAGCAATGACTGCGACTTATCACAGATTTCTAATAATGGCTCAAAGGTAACGGTAAAATAAGAGATACATGTGTAATTGTCAAAAATGCAGGAGTGAAGTTGCTGCCCTGCCTTCTTTCTGTCTCCATGGACTCTCGACCATGACTGACATTACCGCACCGCAGCGGCAGAGGATCACAATCAGGATCACAGAGGACAATCTGTGTGTCTACAGCGACACCCTCTGGCCAATCAACAGCACTGCATTAAAATAACATTGACCGTAGTAAAACGTCAGGATTGTACATACTCGGGTATAAGTTCAGTCAGAAAATATTACGAGAACAGTTTGTTCAGATAAAAGCTTTTACCTTTGTATAAGTGCCGTTTACATTTAAATTAGTTCTGAACACCAAGGGGGGATTAGAAAACGTTTAAAAATCTAAAAAACTTTATGACACATTGTGATGAAGGTAGGGCCTATAGTCATAATGGGTAGGCTACTTTTCTTGTCACACGACAACAAAATATCTGTCTTATTGATGGCTTTTTAAAATTAATATATAAAAACAAACAAACCATAAACAGGCATTTCCAATAATAAATCCTATAAAAAAAAAATGCTTCGTTTTTATCTGCTTTTCCGCATTGCACTCTAACTCGTGTTTCACAAGCTTACACTTGAAACTAGGCTTTATTCACAGGAAATTTGTTTGCTGAACTTGGGTCTTCAGATAAATTACTTGTGTTGGTTCTCATTTGTAAGTCACTTTGGATAAAAGCATCTACTAATTTACTATATGTAAATTTAAATGTAAAATAGCATCGCTGCTTATTTGTGTGTTTTTTTTTTTAAAGAATAATAAAGATTATGTCAACAACTTTTCTCGGACAGTTACACCACCTATAAAATCACAACGACTTAAATTTCAAGATTCATTTTAATTAAAAAATATGTTCACTTTTGAAAATGTGTAGTCAAGCCATTTATTTATTTTTGTTCAATTACTTACTAGATCCAGACAAAAACATTACATATTTGACTCCAGCTAAACTTTGAAACACAGCACAAAAATAAGCTACTCTATAACATCAGAATTCACATCATTGCTCCAAGATAACACTGCTCTGATTAAACTGATTGGGTCCATTTTACTGTAATCACACACAATGTGTAATTTAACTCTCTCTATAGGGCCTACTTATATGTACTTTTTCTTATGTTTCTTAGAAATATTTGAGAGCCGAACCTGCCCAGAATAATTGAATACTATGGAGTGTTTGCTCAATGTCTGCATCATTAATCAAAGACACAAATCTGGGCAACACAGCAGCTTCTCTACTCTTATCTGCAAGGTGCAGAATGGACACAACACAAACCATGTGTAAAGTACAGGGTGGAATAGAAAATCAGCCTAAGTAGTGTTCGCATCCTGAATAAGGACATAAAAAATTTCATAAACAGAGCTGTGATTTTTGTTTTGAGGAAAAATTTGTTAAGCTGGTTCATTTATAAAGCTGTAACCTGTAAATCTCGGTGAACCACATGCTGTATTATTAATGTGATAAGAAAATCTAGAATTAAAGAGCCGCTGTGTCTGACTTACCTTGACATAAAGCTCATGTTCACGCATCTTCTTCTCTTAAAAATTGTGCCAATATCCACAGACACAAACAAAGCTCAGAATTATTCGGATATAGTGTATTCCTCATGACATGCTTTAAAAGATTATTAAGAGAATTTTGTTAAGTTAAACCTGTCTGAACAGCTGAGTAAGAAAGAAAAAAAGAGACAGAAATGAAATCATATCAATTGCTTCCACACCCATAGCACTCCTAGGTAAGGTATTGGGCGTTGACTAACTTCTTAACCATAACACTAGCTGTTGTGGAATCTGCAGTGTCTAAAGTTAACCGCCCACTCCCTCACCTACTAATCAGCCCAGCAGCTTATTGGTCTAAAACCTTGTTGCCAAATCATTATGGAAATACTCTAGAGTGTTACCTGTGTCATTTTTAAACCACGACCTTTTGACCTCTCCTGGTATTGTGTACTGTACATGCTTCATAGCAACTGTGGAGAGTGTCTCAAGTTTTTAATTAGATGGTTGGTGTTAAAAGGCGGTGCATAAGGAAGTCTTCTATGTGAAATCTATGTGAAGACACTCTTCACATTCTGTTCATTGAAATTATTTGCTTTCTTGAAATCTTGAAATAATCTTTTAAACATGCAAATATCTACCTCAAAACAAGCTAATCCAGTCAGACTTGTATTCACTGTACGCCTGAATACAAACTTTGACACGGGATAATGAATCTGATCACAGATCACATAAATGTGAAAAACAAACTCATTTGTTAGGAACTTCACTGAAAGTTCCGTTTTTAGAATATTGTATACTATTGTTAAGAATGTAATTGATGTTGTGAGTTGAATTGGTTTGGATTTATGCCAACTGTCCACCAGAGCTGGAGAAGCGGCGCTCTCGTCTCCTGAAGGGATGAACTGCTGTGGTGCCGGATATGGGCCTTGAAAGGATGTCCTGAATCTTCTTATTGTACTGCTCCTGGTACATTAGACCCTCCTGGAACTCGTGTTCTTTCTCAGCTTGTTCTGCTTCACAAATGCGCTGGCGGTGCAGCATCTGAGCCAGTAAATCAGCCTGATACTCCTGAGAGGCCTTTTTAAACTGCACATGTGTGAAACAAAATATAATGCATTTTTGTATGTATGTTTTGGTATGGGTATGATTGAGATGAACAAGTTTGAGAGACAGAAACCTACCGAGTCTTTTCTTCATCATCCAGCAATTTGTTCTCTTGAACGATTCGGTCAAGATCCTCTCTCTCTTTGAAAGTCTCAGCCTGTTTCTGCAGGTTCTCGTTCACTAAAGGGGATAAAAAACAACATTTGATAAAACTTTATAATTACATTTATGTATAATAATAAATGATGTAGATTTTTTAACAAAGTCTTATGTTCACCAAGGCTGCATTTATGTGATCAAAAATTCAGTAAAAACAGTAATATCATAAAATAGTATTACAATTCATCAAAACTTTTTTTTTTACTTTTGCATTTTAAATATGCTAATTTGGTGCTCAACTTGTTTCATTATTATGTGATTGTTCTACTTCATATTTTTGTGGAAACCATGACTCCAGATTATCTATCTAAAATGTTTCATTTTATTTATTTATTTTTTAAATGCTGATTTCTTTATTTTTTTAATATAATTTATATCAATGTTGAAAACCATTGGGCTGCTTAATATTTTTCTGGAAACCATGATACATCTTTTTCATTTTTTATTTCTCATCATTTATATTTTCTTTGTTGGGTGAACTATCCCTTTAACACTCACTTAATTTCTTTAAATTAATGTAAAATTAAAATGTATAATAATAATTGAAATAATTGGTTTAGTTTTGTAAAGTGTCATCAAATAAAAAAATATATAAAATATAAAAAAAGACATTAAATAAGTATTAATTATACATAATATATTTTAAATAAATCTTCAAAAACTGAATACTGGTGTTAAATCTAATCTTTAGTAATCTCACAAAAGAATATACATTTTTCATCCTTGACAGTATAATATTGTGATTCCTAAATTGACTATCAGCATTAAAAAAATGAAGTTTTTTGATATATATATAATTGCCTGATCTTAAAGCATTTTCCTTACACTTCTCCTGGATCTGCAACTGGCGAGTGTCCATGACATCTTTCATGAGTCTGTCTCTCGCTGCCTTTTCCAGACGCCACTGTGCCTCCCTGCGGGCCCAGGCCTGCTGGAGCTCTGATTCAAACAGTTGCTCCGTCTCAGCTTCTTGTCGTTTCTGCTCTTTCAGCTGCTCTGCTAGATACTCCCGGTACCTGTGCTGCTCCTCTTTAAGCTCCAGCTATTCATGAAAAACATTTCATAGATTTAGGTTAATGGATAAACCAAATCCTCTGTTAACAACACTTTACTCAGCTGAAGTCTGACCTTTTTGAGGAACTCGCCCTGCTTTTCATCTCTCTCTTCACTCTGAAGCTTCTCCAGGATGCTCATATCCAGAGCCAGTTCATCCTGCCGATCTCGTGCCAGGCGCTTCATCTTCAGCCGAAGAGAAAGGTCCAGCTGCTTACGTCGTTTTTCTTGGTCTTGAAGCTTCTGTCTGCGCTCTCGCTCTTCCTCCAGATGGAGCATCTCCCTCTGGTCTCTCTGAGGAACACAGCGTTCAGAAGAATCAATGGCGCAGTTTTTTTTTTGTACAAATATTATGCTGGATTTTAAAATTCAATAAACTTTTGTCTAAATAAATGAAAAACAAAACAGTGAAAATTAAATTCAACTGCAAGAAAAAATTTAAGGAATCCCAAAATTACAATGTGCATTGATAAAAATGGATATTCGTTTTGAGATTAGCTAGATTACATTTAACAGTAATTTAGTTTTTAAAGAATCATTTAAAAAATAAATATAGTGTATAATTAATTAATATATATTTAATATATTTTTTTTATTTAATAACACAGACAAAACTAAACCAACAAACTAAAAAATTATATAAGAAACATTCATTTTTAAGTAAAATATTTTCTTTTATGTTCAACAGAAGGAAGAATTAATACAAGTTTGGAACAACCTGAGGGTGAGTAAATGAATTTTCATTTTTGTGAACTATCCCTTAAAGGTCATCTAAATGAAAAAAAGCAAATGAGGATGCACTATTAAATATTTAATATTGGCAGATACAGATCAGTAAATTGGCCCTTAACTAATAACCTACAGCTACAGATATGTTGTGCATCCCTAATAATAATGTCAATTGAACTGAACGATCAGTACCAGTAACTGGGCCTCCTCTTGCTTCAGCTGCTTGGCCCTGATTCTCTGCTCCTCAGCCATTTCCATCTGTACTTGCAGGAATGCCTTCTGCTGGAGGTTTTTCTCTTTCTGACGTTGAGCCTCCTGGTTATGACGTTCCTCTTTAGCCAGCCTGTCACTCTCCCACATTTGAGTGAACTGTCTGTCTTCTTCTCGTTGCATCCGTCTCACTTCCTCCTTAGTACGGATCTGAGATTCACGCTCAGTGCAGACCTCATCCTGTCTGCGCTTCATCTGCACGGTGCGCAGCTCCTCGCACTGCTCTCTAAAACACAGGAAGAGGGAAAATCTAGTCTAATCCAAAGTTCAAGATGGCCAAACTACTAATGATATGACCTTCTACCTGAAGAGTTGATCGAATTTCTCAGCAACAAGCCTCTGTCTCTCGCGCTCCCTTCTCTCTCGTAGAGTAGTGGCTCTTTCATGCATCTTAGCCTGCCTCTCCAACACTGTCTCTTTTTTTGCCTCCATCTCCCTGAAGAGTTCCTGCTCTTCTGACTCCAGCAGCTCACGAAGCCTGTCGAAAAGAGCCAGACAAATGTCATTACACTACAGAGAAAAACTATTTCTTAATAATTTATGAGATTATTCCATTCAAACCTTTCCCTCTTTTCATCAATGCCTATGTGGTACTGCTCTCTTGCTTCCTGTAGATGTCTACTAATAGTGGCCGAAACAATCCGGCGCTGTGTGTTTCTTTCCCATTGCAATCTCACATCACAGGACCTATGATCCTTGGTAAACTCCAGAACCTCATTCTGTGTCACCTCCTGTTTCCTTCTCCTCAGAAAAATGTTGTCTATGTCTTTGGATAAAGGATTTCTTGCTCTCTGAAATGTACATATTTGATTTGAATATTAAAACACTAACCAAAATGTTACAGTAATAATAGGCTGCTATGTAATCTCATCAAATCTGCTGTCTTCCCAAAGAGAAAGATACAGTCTAAAAAACATACATATAACTTAATCTGTACATTAAGACATTGGAAAATGTTTAAAATCAATAATATTTGAAAATTTGGTCTCATAATCATCATCATCATCAGTGTGTGTGTGTGTGTGTTTTCTTTGTGTGTGTGTGTGTGTGTGTGTGTGTGTGTGTGAGTGAGTGAGTGAGTGAGTGAGTGAATGTTTGTGTTGATTTTGTCAAGTAAATATATCTAACGTTAATAACTCACCACTGCCACGGAATGTGCAGGTCCAGTAATCTCCCGTGTCCTTCTTCGGTGGGCTGTCAACATGGTACTTTTTTAACTCTACTTTCTCAGACTGTAGCTAGCTTGAGAAATGACCCACAAGTTGTGTTTTACGGAACTGAACGGATGTTGCCATAACAACGGCAAGCCATATCAGCCGCCTTTCATTGCCTATGTTCATTGCTGATACGATGATGATTGTCAACTTGCAATTTTCATAAAATACAATTAAATGCTAAAGTTAAATTCCATATTATAAAAACTCCAATAATCTTGTGACTGTGAAATTATTATTTTGTTATAATAACCGGAAGAGGCGAGCTTTTATTTTGTGAAGTTTTCAAGCGTTGCAGTTTACAGTCAGGTTGAAACGAGACTATCTACGATACCCACCTTTCCCCTTCCAATCTTTGACGTTTTATTGAAAAGAAGAAAAAAAAAAAGTTTTATTAAAAAAAAAAGAAAACCAACCAGACAAACCAAAAAATTCACATCTAATCCTCATAAACAATAATATTTAGGAGAAATCAATCAACATTTATTTCTATTGCGCTTCACAACAACCGTAAGGTACTTGTAAATTATTATTCTTTTACAATTCTATATAAAAGTGTAGGGTCAGAAACGCATAAAATAACATTACTCACATTGATTCATATTTAGTTTGTATAACTGCTAGTATATTAGGTTTTTGTCTGATGGTGATAGTTACATAACAGACCAGAGTCACTTTTGCAATTTACTTCCAATGAAACAAACACAAAAGGAGCTTTTAATTTGAAATGTCTCCTCTCCGCGCGCTTCCGGTGATGTCAAATCTCCAGAACGCGCCAAAGTTTAGACGGACGCGCAGTGAAGACAAGGCACTTTTCTGTGTAAATATACCATCAGAACAGACAAACAACCTGCTTCACATGGGACAGCTTTAACACTGATGCAGGTGACTCGCAAGGTATGTTTATTTGACAAAATAACTGAAAATTGACATCGTACAGCATCTGAATGTCGGAGTTGACATTTTACTAGTGTTGACATTGACACAGTTGCTCACCTAGTCATATTTTGCATGTATGACATTATGTTTATGTTAAAACGAACATTTTAGGTGTACTTGTAGCTTTTTTTAAGTGTAAAACTTAACTGGTTTGCTTTCTCTAACGTTAGTCCTGACTTGTGTCCACAGATCAGATCATGTCTGTGCCTTTTGTTAAAGACTGGGATGTGGTACAAACCCTCGGAGAGGGGGCGTATGGAGAGTAAGTGACCACTAGTGTACCTTTTTATTAGTGCCATCCTGATCAGTTGAAGTTTTAAAATATATGAATCTACTTCAAATTATTGTAGGGTGCGACTGCTGGTCAACAAGAAGACAGAAGAGGCTGTGGCTGTGAAAGTTGTGGACATGGCAAAAGCCAAGGATTGTATCGAAAACGTGAAGAAGGAGGTCTGCATATGCAAGATGCTCTCACACCCCAACATTGTACGTTTCTTTGGGCACAGGAGTGAGGGGACGACTCAGTACATATTTTTGGAGTACTGTAGCGGAGGAGAGCTCTTTGACAGAATCGGTGAGATTTGGACATTTTTTTGTTGTTGTTGGATCTGTTTCTTTGTCCTGTTGTAATGTACATCTGGTGGGGTCTGAATGTATGTGACGAGCGATTGTGTTCTACTCAATATGTCATTTGACTCTCATTCTGACAGAACCGGATGTTGGGATGCCAGAAAAGGATGCACACAGGTTTTTTCAGCAGTTAATAGCTGGTGTGGTAAGTTTTGGGTGATTTTAAAACTTTATTATTGACTCTGGTTTATTTTTGTGAACAGTTTTCACCCGATAGCTGCCTTTGTAGTGAAACTAGATTATCTCTCTCACTTACAGGAATATCTTCATGGCATTGGGATTACACATCGTGACATAAAGCCCGAGAATATTCTTCTTGATGATAAAGGTACATCTAAAGGGTTTTGTGTTTCCTCATTATAAAACAGATTCTACTAACACTATACCTAGAGATTGGCATGGTTTTATTTCAGTTATCCTAATAGCTGGTTTGTTTTGTATTGAGAGATCTTATGGAAAGTACCCAATGCCAATCTCTAGGTATGATGAAGGGTATGTGATGGTGTGGGGTTATTTTAATTCCAAAGGCCAAGGAAACTTTATCAGGATGCATAGTATCCTGGATCCATGAATTTTTAAGGAAGAACATTTATTTATTTACGATACATTATTCATTCACAAAGAAAATTGGTGTCCTTAAAGATTGTATTTTTTCTAAAAGATGATTTTTTTTTTTTAGTCAACTTTAGCATGGGTGTTCATTTATGCTAGCACTGTACATATACAGTACCATCAAAAGTTTGGAAACATTATCATTTTTAATGTTTTTGAAAGAAGTCTCTTTTGCAGATCAAGCTTGGATTTATTTGATAAAAAAATACAGAAAAATAATAGTACTGTGAAATTTTAATCAAAATTTAAAAGAAGGGTTTTCTATTGAAATATACTATAAAATATTATTTATTTATGTTATGCAAATTTGAATTTTCAGCATCATTACTCCAGTCTTCAGTGTCACATGATTGTTCAAAAATCATTCTAATATGCTGATTTGATACGTTATTATCAATGTTGGAAACAGGTGTGCTGCTTAATATTTTTTTTATAATCTGTGATGCCTTTTTTCAGGATTCTTTGATGAATAAAAAGTACATAAAGTACAAAAAATTGTATAAAAAGAACATTTGTTTAAAATAATCTTTTGTAACAATATACACTTCTGTTCAAAAGAATGGGGTCGTATTTTTCTTTTTCTTGTTTTGAAAGAAATTAATACTTTTATTCAGCAAGGCTGTGTTAAAGTTTGTGTTATAAAGTGATAGCAAAATCTTTGTTAGAATATATACTGTGTATATATATATATATATATAATGTGTATATACATGTGTTTCTATACACGCACACAATTTCTAATATTCAACATTTAATTAAAATGCATTTTTATGCTCAGATAATCTCAAGATCTCTGATTTCGGACTGGCTACCATGTTCCGCCACCGTGGCCGAGAGCGGCCGCTGTCCCGTTTGTGTGGCACTCTACCCTATGTTGCCCCCGAGCTGATGTCACGATCGGCGTTCCACGCTCAACCTGCGGACACTTGGGCTTGTGGCATTGTGCTCACTGCAATGTTAGCTGGAGGTAGGACAACAGTTTTCTGAGTGTAGACAACATCTCATTGTAAAGATTTTAGCATATACTGCCTTTTTCCTTAGAGTTACCATGGGACCAGCCGAGCGAAAACTGTCAGGAATATTTAGATTGGCTGGAGAAGAAGATCTACCTCACACCGTGGAAGAAAATAGATGCTGTGGCCCTGAGTAAGTAGCTTAGCTTTATTTAATCCAGTTTATTTTTTGTATTTATTTAGACCAGAATATCATTGAATTGTGGGCTCTTTTGACTTGGACCAGAAAGCAATTACTCAGAACACACTAGCAACTGCATAAAAACATCTTACAGAAACACTCAGAATTATGTTATGCTTAAGTTCGTGTTTTATTTTCTTTGTCAGGTCTGCTATCCAAGATATTACTGCATAATCCAGAGGAAAGGTTTACCATTCCTGAAATGAAGAAACATCGTTGGTTTTGCAGAAGTTTCAAATCAGGTACTGCGTTCAAGCATTAGCTCAGTAAGTCATTCAAGAATTTTTGTGATTCTGATGGATCTGTATTTTTGACCACAGCACTAAAACGACAGAGTGACATGCCAGTAACAAAGATGCATCGAGCTGACTCGGAGCTCTCACAGCTGAGACGAAAAAACAGGTCAGTACGACAAATGAATGCAAATGGCCGCCGAATGACAGGTTACTATGAAGAGAAACTGAGTTCACTATTATATGCTATATTACGTTCTAAGGGCCACATCCATTACTACCTTTGTGTTTCCTCAGTGATGACAGAGCACAGATCTCCAGCTCTCAGCCTGAACCACAGGGATTGTGGGAGGAGAAGGAGGTTACAGTGCACACTGATGTCAGTGTCAGCTTTTCACAACCTACCTGTCCTGACCACATGTTGCTGGGCAGCCAACTACTTGGCACTCCGGGTGCCAGCCAGGTAATTTAGGTCTCAGTTATTTCTGTCAAAAATGTTTGTTCTTATTCCACAGTAATGCTTCAATTTTATTTCACTCATATTGTTGAAATAGATTGCCTGATGTATTATTCATTTTGGGTTTTTACCCAGTTATTTATTTGATAAAACTAATTGGATTAAATAAATAAATAAAAAAATGATTCGCTTATTTTATTTATTTATATATATTTTTGCAGAACCCATGGCAGCGGTTGGTGAGAAGGATGACCAGGTTCTTTACTACAGAGAAGGCAGAGGCGTCTTGTATTGCTCTCCGTGATGCTTGCATTGCTATGGGTCACACATGGAAACAGAGCTGCACCAATCAGGTCACTAGATAAAACAATCATTTGTTACATTAAAGTATTTTAAATACTTTGTGCTAAAACCTGAACCATATAATTCACTGATCTTCTTGTTTTTGTCCCCTTTTCTCTCTTTCTATTCATAGGCGACAGTGTCCACAATGGATCGCCGCAATAACAAGCTGATCTTCATAGTACACTTCCTAGAAATGGAGGAACGCATTTTAGTAGATTTCCGACTGTCAAAGGTAAGCAAATTACTTTTATGCTATGATTTATGGCTTATTAATTGCACTAACCTCACCATGATGATTCTAAATTAACTGGTTTGTCAAGAATCTTTAAATAAAGAATTGTTCATTTTTATTTGTATGATATAATTGTTTTGAATAGTAAACTCCGTCTTCTAAAAAGTGTTCTTTTGTGTTCTAGGGGGATGGTTTGGAATTCAAGAGAATATTCCTGAAACTGAAACTGAAACTGTCTGACATTATTAGTAACCAAAAGGTTTTGCCTTTGAATTGATGCTTGTTCACATTTTAACATGCAAAGCCAACATTCACACATGCGTATATACACGCACACAAAGTTGTTTTATGATTGTAGAATGTGTTTGTAGTTGTATATGTCTGTTTTTCTGATCAGTCAGTGAAGGAGTGAGGAGAAACTGTCAAATTTAGTTTATCTGTTCATTTGTGTTCTGTTACTGAAGTGAAGAAGATGGTTTGAGTTCTGCTGCCTCTTGAAAAGATGCAAGTGAAAGCAAAATTTTAAATAAATCTGTCATCAATAATGCGGTTTGTCTTCGACTGCTTTGTTTAAATTAGAAAATGGAAGAAAAATGTATCATGTTCAGCCTTCATTTTATTCAACGCTGAGTTCAGAAATGAGTGTATTTTGCTTACAAAGACAATTCATTCAAAAATATCAAGTTGTTTTCCTACATGATTAGTTTACCTCAACCCATGTGATTCAGAAGCAGTTAAAATCAGATTAGTTCATTGTAAATAGACACAAAAGGTGAATGGAAAAGTACTCAAGTCATTTTCAATCTGTACTGGTGTAGAAGCAAGCAGTAAATGTAGAAAACAATATAACAATCCTGCTGTCAAAATTTGTGTTTTAATCATACCAAAACCATGTTTGCTTGATAATATTTGTTATAGATTTTATCTAAATGGGAGACACTTGCAAGTTGATCTTATAAAATTACATTCAACACAAAATTATTTCCCGCCCTTTCTTAGTTTACTTCTATTGATGATGAGAATTGTGTTCCTTCCTGATCCCTAGTAGTAAATGGTAACAAAATAGTTATGATCAGCCTTGTCTTTAGCTCGAGGCCATGACAGTAATAGTTACATTGACTGGCTCCTCGCCAGGGGGAAGGTTTGTAGGTGTTGCGGTTGGCCTTGGCAGTGCCATTGATGCTGCTGTAAGAGAAAGCAGGGGGGGTTTGTGAACAAAAATGTTTCTAATTATATTTTTGAGTTGAATTAATAGGTTTCAATGGTGAGGTACCTGGACTAGCTGGTGGGCTTGGCTTTCCTGTACTTCTCTCCCCCTCTGCTGTTCTAGAAACCTCATCCTCAGGGAAGTTAATGTTCTCTCTGGATTGGCTATTCTGCCTGAAAAACACAAATAGTAGTAAAATAGGCAAAACATAGTAAAGAGCAATCAAATAACTGATGAATATCAATTATCAAAGCATACCTTCCAAATATCAAGTCATGAAGCCCTGTAAAGTGTGAAAGTGGTATTAGCATACAGCCTTGCTAGTGTTAACTATGAAATTACTACACTTCTTTCAACATTAAGGATGCGTAACTCACGTGGGTTATTGTTGCGGTTCCGTACCACATACAAGAAGAGCAGTACAGTGATTATTGTGGCTATGATCATGCCCCCGATGGCTGCCCCGATCACAGCTGGGTAGGCATTGAAGGGAGGTTCGGCTGGAAGACAGCATACCTATATCAGCTTCACAATATCAGTGTCACAATAGTGTGCCATGTACCATGGCAATCGGACATTTATTCAGAGGCTTATAAGAGCTCTTATTCCATAATATAAATTGTAAAGTGTTACTGTTTTTTGGGGGGGTGGAATAAGCTTAAACATTTACTTGGGTTAACTTGTGTGTATTTAGCATCATTAGCATGATCAAATGCTCTTTTTTTAGAGGTAAGTTGTTATCAGACAGAAGTAGACAAAAGTAATGCCAGGAAAGGTCAAAAGGTAAGTTAACAGGCAGGTCATGTAAGAGGAAAGGGATAGAAGGATGGAGATGTGTGGGTATGGAAGTGGTCAAGTGTGCATTTCACCTGAATGGACAACAAAACAAAAAACAACAGCATTAGAGTTTCAGTAAGTGTTAACTAAAAAAAAATCCCAACAATATAAACACCCCAATCTTAAGCATTTGTCAACTGCATTGAATTATATTCTGCTTTTCTATTTTTATGCAATTCATGTTTATATGTGCATTGATGCTGAGCTTTTCAATGTACCTTGTAAGTGTTCTCACCTGGGCTCTTCATCTCTGAAGGGTTTCCAATGGTGCGATGGTTGAAAGCGGTAATGCGGAATCCATAGGTTCCTGTGGGATCCAGATTGTTGATTTGGTAGCTTCGGGAATCAGGCTCCAGATCTACCAATTTCTGCCAGGGAAGATCACTGTTTCTTTTCTTCACAGGTTCAGGGAGCCTCTGGCGCTCTATAAAGAATCCGGTGAGCTCGTCATCAGTCTGGAGCTGCCACTCTAAGTCAACATCAGTCCGTTGACGACTGTTGTAAATGATCCTATTGATGATTATATTTGGGGGCATTGGATACCCTGAAATAGGAAGGTTTAGAAAGTCATTCATTTATATATAACAACCAATTACAGAGCAACAGGAGTTGAGATACAGTAGTACCCATCCATCTGCAGTATGTATAAGTACTGTATATGAAGTATAATGTCAGTGTGATACTTAAAGGCTTGCTTACTCTTCACCATCAGCATAATGGGAATCTCTGCCCCTCCGACAGCATTGGTAGCCGAACACCAGTACTGTCCGCTGTCCGTATCACTGTCCGTTTCCCGCACGGTCAAGTTGGTCCAGGCGGCAGCCCGCTCCAGGACGTACTTCTTAGGAATCTCATTCACATGCTGTTTCAGGTTGTTGTACCAGGTGATCTCTGTGACAGGGTAGTTTCTACTCAAGACACATGTGAGCTGGACATCACTTCCCTCATAGACGGTCATCACACTGCGCTGGGTCACTAGGACCGGCGCCTCTGAAGACCGAAAGGACACAGTTTTAAATGGAGTCTTTTACTGTTTTAAAAGAGTGCTGAAAGTGAGCCCTTTCTTACCCAGCTTTAAAGTACACTGTTTGGTCCCCTTAGTCAATGGATGTTTTGCATGGCATGTAAAGGCTTTGCCACTGTAGATAGCACTTGACCGCAGAACCAGGATGTTGGCATTCTCCTCAGACGTGCCTTGCATGTCCCCTGAGCTGGAGGACCACCATACCAGGGCTAGAGGGAACCCACCTTCCCAAGAGCAGGACAGCATTAGGTACTCATTGTTTCGAGTTGCATATGCAGAACACTTTGGCTCCCCATAGGGCATCCCTGGGATCAAGAGGATGCACAAATTATTTACTGACCTTTCATTCATCTCAACTAGGTGCTCTTGGTTTTACACTTACAAGTTCTGGCACTGCAGCTCTTGATTTCATTTGATGCGATATGTGAGCCTTGACAGATGAACACACTGTTGTTTCCAGTCTCTTCCCCTTTCTGAATCTTGGTGATGTTTGATAGTCCCTCGCTCTCTTCTCCAAACACATACGGGGTCCATCTCAAAGTGGCTGCTGGGATACCACCCTCCCAGGTACAACGGAGGGCCAGGTCAGTGTAATTGTTTACTGGTGAGATTGAGCATGTTGGAGCGCCATCTGGAGGATCTGTGGGAACAAAACCATTGTGTAACACAGGGCAGTGAAATGGATCCAGGGTAATTTGGGCCAATTTTGGAAACTGATAGAGGCAGAGAAGTGCTCCTGAATTTGAGCCGTATGAAGAGGTCGGATTAGGTGTCTATTATTTATCTAGATAGAAGAGGTAGTCATCTTCTAGAAAGTTCAAGAGTAGTGAAATATTGGATTGGCTTCTGATTTACCTTTATCATTCCCGTTTCAACTGAGCCAAACTTTAAGAGATATCATGAGAAGGTGTTGCTGTGTTAGTATACAGTATCGGTGGGGTTGTTAGCACCCTAGTCATTCAAGAATAGGTGTACATTCAAGGCACGAAGGGGGGATTGAGGTGTTATGACAAACCAAAACAAGGCCTTTTGGCCTTTCTCGACTTGTCATAGCACAGAAACAATCACACCTGCTGTATACCTTCAGCTCTCAGAACTGTCCTTCATCTCCTCCAGATGCACGTCCACAATCGGCCACTGTGGAATCCTGACACCTTTGTTTACGTAACTGTTTTTATGTTCGTGTGAGCATGTTTGTGTAAAGGAAAAGATGTAAGAGGAAGCAAAGGCAAGAAATTTGAGAAGCAAACTTGAAGAAGTTGTAGAACTCTATCAGGACAGGTTGAAGAAACAGCAAAGATGGCCACCAGAATCCAGGCAGGGGGGTTTGGGAGCACTCACAGTAGACGGTGAGGGTGATGGTTTTCCTGGAGCGGGTGTTGAGGTAAGTGTTCTGAGCCAGGCATGCATAGTGGCCCGTGTGCATGCGTAGGACCTTGTTGATGGTGAACTGTGGACCCGTGAACACCTGGGAGTTGTTGTAGAACCAGACATACTGACTGGGGGGGTTAGAAGAAGCTTGACACAGGAGAGAAACCGTCTCTTTTTCCAGGGCAGAATAACCCCGCTCTGTCACTGAGTAAGGGGTGACGTCTATCTGAGGCTGGTCTGGACCAACTAGAAAAGAGACATAGATGTTTACATGGCAGATTCTCTTTAAATTGCTTTTCATATCACAGACTAAAAAGATATGATGCACCAAACTTTGCTATTTCAAAGAGTACTTGGGAGTCTCTTACAAATGATGTCTAGCCAGATTCTGTCACTGCGCTGCTGGTTGACTTGGTTGCTGGCGAGACACCTGTACCATCCAGTGTGATTGCGGCTGACCTCAGTGACATTGAATAGGTTGTCGTTATAGATCTCAGCCATGGTGGTGAGCTGGCTTTCCCGACTCTCCTGTTCCCATATGTAATTAATAGGCCCAGTTCCATTGTCCAGGCGACATTGCAAGGTCATTGACGTGCCCTCCACTGGCGAAGAGTCGCTCATCACAATGTAAGGTTTGGTAACTGGCACTGTTAAAGTCAGTACAAAATGGAACCTCATTATATAACGACTATATAATAACATTTCATGCACAACCTAAACAATAAACAAATCGATGTTTTTTTTTAGTTTAACCTTTTCTTTGTTTCCTTTTTTTTCATTGGAAATTACCTTTACATGTATACTAGTTAATTAGACTTTGGGGCATACCAGTTTAAATCCCAGGGGAAATATAAATGAACCTTGAATTTGGTCAGCCATTGTTCTGATCAGTACTTAGACAACCTCTGATTACCACTAACCTAGAACATGCAGAAATACATAGTAGTAATACAGCTTGGCTCCTTCCGGGGTATCATACAGTGCCTGGCAGGTGTACACTCCCTCTGCAGCCAGAAGAAGCTTCTCAATGGACAGAGAGGCGCTGTTGCTGATTATTGTCAGATCACCCAAGTCGTTGGCTAATTTCTGTATTTTGGGACCC